GCCGTTCCTTCAGTGTCGCTGGGTCAGAATCCTGGAATTCCCTCCCTAAGGGGCATTGTGGGTCTACCCACAGCACAGGGACTGCAGTGGTTCAGGAAGGCAGCTCACCCCCACCTTCTCATGGGGCAACTAGGGACAGGGGGCAATAAATGCTGGGCCAGGCCAGAGCCGCCCACATCCCCCGTGTGGAAAAACAAAGTCCCTCCCTGGGGCTGGGATCAGCCGAGTGAATTTTCCCTGGACTGCCTCCAAAGCCAAAATATTTTTCATTGTATAAGGGGCCCAAAGCTGTTCACAGTATTCCAGCTGTGGTCTGACCAGTGCCTTGTACAATTTTAGCAGAGCCTCACTATTTGTATATTCCATTCCCTTTGAAATAAAGGCCAACGTTCCATTTCCCTTCCCTATTACCTGCTAAACTTAGATGCATGCTTTTTAGTGATTCATGGACGAGGACTCCCAAATCCCTCCATTCTGTAGCTTTCTGCAGTCTTTCTCCATTTAAATAATATTAGGCTCCTCTGTTCTTTCTGCCAAATGCATAACCTCACTATTCCCGACATTATCTGCCAAGTGTCGCACTCACTTAACCTGCCGACATCCACCTCCAAACTCTTGGCGCTGCTGTTTGCTTTCCCATTTAATTTTCTATCCTCTGCAAACTTGGTAACTTTCCACATGCAAGTTGGTAGGGAGCTGTTGCTAACCGTCCCTCCCTTGGATCTCTCTTACAGTGATGGACAGATCAGCAGAGATGAGATGATCACCTATTTCATGCAGGCAAACTCCCTGCTAAACTGCAAGATGGGATTCATTCACAACTTTGCAGAGACCACCTACCTAAAGCCCACCTACTGTGAACATTGCAAGAACTTTGTGAGTAACTGGCACTGTAAATACGAGACTGGGTTAGACAGGGATTCTGGGTTAGTCAGAGAGACCATGTGACACACAAAGCCTGGGTTAGACAGGGAACTGAGGTTAGACATTTTTATAACAATGATTCCTCAGCACTGACCCTCCGACAGCGCGGCGCTCCCACAGCACTGACCCTCCGACAGTGCGGCACTCCCTCAGCACTGACC